CCACCCCCCAAACGGATAAAACCAAGCCCAACAGTTGTTGGTCGAGATATGGACAGTTAGCCTTATGATAAGCAAGGGCAGACTGATCCAAAGCCTGTGGGGACGAGGCATACTAACACCATCACCCAACTGAGAGGCAAATGTCAGGGGAGTGGGGAAAAAACCAAATAGGGTTGAGAAGTACATTCATGCAGTAGTGAAGGACATTGGTCATAAGATATAGGAGCAAGGGATAAAACATCACATACCTGAGAAATAAAGTCTGAAAGAACTGTGGAAGGCTGAACAGAATCCTCAGGAAGGATATGGAAAGGCACGGCAAAATCAGGAAGTAGAAACAGGTGATCAAAGTTGTCATCAGCCTGCCCAGGTTCAGTAGGAAGTGGGGCAATGTCTGGAGATGGAAGTTGACCCATATAACATTCAATCTCCCTGTGAACAAATGTAGACGAATCTCCAGACGGGTCGCTAGCACCTGAAGCCTGTGGTATAGCACCTGTCAAATGTGACACACCAGAAGTGGTAACATTAGCTTCAGAATTCATGTTGTATCAGTCGACAAAAGCTTTTGAAGGAAGAAATAAATGCGACTAAAATAAGGGTAATTGAACCTGAATGCTTTCAAGAAAAAACTGAGTATGCTAAATTAAACCATTTTGAGAACTAATTCAATCTCAAACACTAATTCAGACAAAAATAGAAAGACATCTGAGTGCAAGCACTGCCCAACGAGAAGTGATAGTTCAGTAGAGGCGCATACAGGGAGTCCCATGCGTCATGTGAGTATACTATTCTCCTATTGGTAGAAAAGTGACACATAGTGGTTTGCATGAGAGACATGTTGGAATCATTTGATTCCAATAGGGGGGTACAGAAAGCTTGTGGCATGCGTAATAAAAAAGTTCACATATAGAGAGCAGCAATGTACGAGAATAGCTAATCTTGTGAGAAGAGGGGAGTACCATATCAGAATTGTGAGTTTTCTGGTGTTGCATTACACTCTTTTGATTAAATTATATAAAAAAATGTTTTGTATTTGTTTGTGTTATACTATATTAATATATTCAAATGTTATGATATACGTCCTGTAAGTTATAACAGTTTAAATTGATGATTTCTGGTGTTGCAATTATGTTGAAATATATTCCTGATAAAATCTTGCGATACAGTTGAAAGCCCATTCTTAAATGCATGAATAGAGAAATTAAATGAAAAATGTCAAGCTTACAAAATATAAAATTTACAAAGACACTGAGATTTATTGAAAAAAGCCACTATTAAAAATAATAAAGACCAGTGGCTCCCAAATTTTTTTCTGCTGTGTACCTTCAATCAGACCTTTGAGCCAGTAGCATACCCTTAATGCATATAATATGTTAAAAATACTTTAGAGTGGCTTACATTGATAAAAAGGTAAATCAAAAAAAGTCATTCAAGGATGAGTCTACAATACACAAATGTTGAGTGCTTGTTTGGAGAATATGTTGGTAATTCATCAAGGCTGCCCTCCAATTTTGAGGCATAGGATTTATTTTCTTTTTTTATACATATTTGTTAAAGGTTCTTGTGTACCACAAGTTTGGGAATCACTGATATAGACAATAAAATCCTAACAACTCAAAACATTAAATATCTTATGCTTACTTAATTGAAAAAAGAATCAAGAACAAAACAGGTTCTTCAAATAGTTCCCATGGAAATAATATTTTGTAAGAAAATAATGTGGCTGAAGAGCTAAACAAATACCTTACAAGTATTTATTACTGACAAAAGGAGAAAAAAAAAATATTAACTTTATCAATTCCTTTAATTATTAGTAGTAAATTTCTTTCAATACTATTGCTGTTAAAGGACAAGCTTTTTTGGATATTTCTCACCCTAAGGAGTTTAGTCTTAAAGCCTTAAAAATATAGTGTAGTTATAATGAGGGTTTTATGTATTATCTTTCAAAATATGTTTGATATTGGGAAAATTGGAAGTTTGCCAATATGATCCCTATTTTTAAATGATAATGTCAAAGGAGGACCTGGGATTTTATATGCTTATTAGCTTCACCTTTTATTATTAACAAGGTTTGAAATCTATTGTCACAGATAATTCAGAAATGGAGATGGAAAGTTGGAGCTTAAGAAACAATACTCAGCATGGTTTTAGAAACAGGCTTTTTTGCCAAATGAACTCTATGATATCTGATAGAGAGGTGAAGGCCCTTTGGCTGATGTTTTGTTTCTTGACATCCTTGATGAAAACCTTTGATAAAGTGATTAATAAGAATTCATATGGTGGAAAAGAAATTGTTACCAAATTGGCTTTGTGGCAATGAGCAAATGGAGGTTATAAAGGGGTATTTCTAATAAGGAAAATATGAGTAGTGGGGTCTGTCAGCCTGCTTTGAAGCTTTTTTAGGAAATACCTTCTCTACTCCAGCAGCTAGTGAGAAATAATTCAATGAATAAAGAACCAGTCAGTTAAGTAAAGACTTATTGTGTTGGATGAATAAAGATTTAAAAAAAAACTGTACATATGCATTTCAGAGGTTCTAGAAGTTATCCAAATACAATATGCAAACTGTAAAACAGGAAAAGGAATATTATTCTTCACACGAACATCACCTTGTACTCTGACTTGCCAAAATCTGAGTCAGACTTATGTTACCAATTGACAAGCATATCTTGAGTGCAAATACTTTCGTAACACATCTGATATTTCGAGTACAACAGACTTGTACATTTTACTCAAAGTTTCCCACATTTTGTTAGATACACATAGTAAATTTGGAATTACAGTCAAAATTAACTTCTCTAATATGGAGTCAACCCAACCCTGTACATATTTGGTTACTTGATTACATTAAACCAATTGATTATTCTCACATGAGACTTGGATATCTTGAATAATCAAAAATAGTAACAACCGGAAATGCTACTTTTGACTAGCTTATTACTTTCTTGAGTTGTAACACTAATCAATTAAGCTAATCAACCTTAAGTTAATTGAAAATAATAATAAGAATAATAATGGCAATATCTGAATAACTTGGATAGTTGAAATAATCAGAAACAGTAATAACTGGAAACACTAATTTCAATTAGTTGATTATTTTCGGGACATTAATCAATTAAATCATAATTCTGAGTAATTAATTATTTTACATGACACTATTCAATGCTCATAGATAATAGATTATTTCAACTGATATAATTAATTGCCCAGATCTACTTGTGATACATTATACAATTTTAAACTTGTAACAAAAAAATTGGCTTATTACCCTTTAGAAATGTTAACAGTAACAAAAAATAATGATTATGTTAGAAAACATAAAATAATATAAAATTCTTCAAGAAATTACTGTATTATTCAAACTGAAGTAAGGTGAGGTTATATTGGTTAAACAGAGGATATTAGGAAAATGCACTGACTACCTTAAGGATATGCATTTTGTCATCTTCCTGTATGTATGTCTTAGCTATATTAGTCAACTCCCTAACTTTTGAACTAATATATTCCTTAGCATGTGAAGATAGACTTCTATGTTTGTCAAGTGCACCATTTCCCAGTTTGTTTGTGTTTTTATGAAAAATAAATTCAACATTCAGTATTAAGTCATCTGTCAGTAGAATAACAAACCATAATGTCTGAATAGGCTTAATGTCAATTGAACACCTACTTAGTTGAAAATGTATATTTGATTATTACAACTAATTTCAGCAAATCTCCACTTGTAGTATGGTTATTTTTACAATAACAGCAAATAACAAAGCTATTTATTTTAAATAAAACGTTTTGGATAAAGTTTATATTTTATTTTCAGTTATGCTGACATCTATTTTAAACCACTAATAGTAATACTTTTAGAAACATCCATAAAAAATTATGACTATGCTTAAATAGTTTAGAATGAAAATTTAAGACTTGGCTGATTTACCTAAACTTGTTCAAGCCCAAGCTTACAATCAGACAAGATAAATGCATGAACCAGATGATGAGTTCAATCATTTTAATTGCCCAATAATAATAGTAAATTAAAGAGTTTGTAATACAAAACTAGATATCGTTTCCCTATCAAAATTAAAGAAGTTATGAATCTTATACAAGTTAATTATTTAAAACTTTATTACTATTGAGTTAAGAAAATTATCTTCAGCAATAAACCCATTAAAATCATGAATTATTTGTACTAACTTCGAGCCTATTTTGAGGTATCTTGGGAGTAGGATCCATACAGTATTCAGTGTTGTTTATATACATATAGTATGCAGATTTATACCTAGTATTTCTTACATTATTCAGTTAGTATGGTGAACATTTCCATTTATCTAAAATTTACAAAGTTTTTTGCACACACACTTTTCCAGCCACATGTGTAGTTCTAACAATAGAATGATGGTCAAAGAATGTGGTTAAGTTCCTTTTTGCTCTATTTACCTATTGTTCTGGGTCATTTCCCTTTGGTGTCAAATACATTTTCTCACAGAAAAGATTGCTGTAAAGTAAAACAAACAATGTAGAGGTGAAGAATGATATTTTCCACTGATTAGTCAGGTGATGACTTAAGGATATATCAACCTTTACATTGCTATTGGAATTACTAACAGTGATGTGGGTAGCACATATCTGCTGAGAAGGAAGGTATTAAAAAACTTTAATATAATGCCATGCTCTCTCAGTCCTCTTAGTTCTTTCTTTTAAGCTCAAGCCTTCAATCTAATAAGTAAATTTTATGTTCTTTGTTTAACTAGTTAGTAAGTAACATTCACTAGTTCTTTATAAGTCCCTTTTTAAGTTCTGCAAACTAAACACAGTTAACAAAACCAAATACGGAAATTACTGTTTGAATTAGTCATATTGTTATTATAATTAGGCATATAATTTATGTAAATGCCACAAACAGTTTCAGCTTGTGCTTTACTTTCCTTGTCTCATCCAAACTGGTCTGTCCAAATTCTACTATATAATTTACTACCTATAATTTGTATTTAAAAAAACAATTTACTCACGCAGCAGACCACTGTAGTATGTCTTTCGGTTGTGTGCGTATGGCATCTTTCGTATATTTTTTAAGCAACTGCGGAAGTTCGTTGGGAATCCGTATTTGTTCGGGAGAATATAAAGATTCCTCAACCCAACCCATACGACTCGCAGGCCTACTACTACTGCTACTAGGCCTACTATCCTCAGACATTACGTTTCCTTAAAACTTAATATAATTTACAAGACATGCTACTTTTGTGCAAACTGTTACATTTATTTTTATGTCAAGCATAAAGCAAAAACTCCAAATATGTTAATAATTTATTATCATCTAATTCAAAATACAATTTTTATCCAAACGAGTGATAATTGTATCTAAGTTTACAATTGAATTGTCATGGTAACAGTAAAGCGTCATCTCAAAGCAATATATATATTATTTGAATAAATTAATTTTAGTACAAACTTCAAAAAATATTTGTTTGATGTTGGTGTTGGATAGGCAGGTCTCACTTATCAGTCTCTTTCAGTATCGTGAATGAATAGAAATAATGTGACAATAACAGAGTCTTGTGCTCAGAAAATAAAATAGTTGGATTTATAACATGTTTACCTGCTACTAAGCCAACTAGCAAAAAGCAGAGGGTGATTGCTAATTAAAAACCAAAGGGTGAACTTGCTTGTGGCAAATAAAATGGCTAGTGCACAATAGAATTTTAGAAATGGACTGTTCCTGCCTGTTTCTAGTAAAATGGTGTGACATTTTGATTTCTACATTGTACAGTGTTTAAATAAACAAAATGCTTGCAAGTTACAAAGTCAACTAGTAAGCACGAAGTAGAAGAGAAATTGGGCTACCTGTACAGGCTATCGATTTACTACGCCTGTACATTTCAAGCACATATATAATTAAAAGTTTATTCATAGTGTATATCATCTAATTTGGTATATAAACGCCGTAGTAATAAAAAAGTTAAAAATCTTTAAACATTACATTCTTTAATCACGTGACCCGTTCTATGGACGCGGGTTTGTCCTGTGGTAGAATTCTGGATTTTGAAGCTGGTGAGCCGGATTGGAATTCTTGTAATATCACACACTATTCCCTAAACTTTAAGCTGTCGGTAGGTTATAAGAGTGAAGGTCAATCTCTCAACGTCGATGGTAGGTGGTGGGTTGCCTTACCTCTGGTCGTAGTTCGAAATTTAGGACAGTGGCATATAGCCTTAGTAGCTTCGCCATAAATATAAACCGCTTTATAATATTAAAAAACGTTTTGCCAACAAATAGGCTAACATTTGTGATGAAAATCACGTAAAGTGCAGAAGTTTTTTTTTTCACTTTCCTCTTAATTTGTCATTTGATATTTCACTTAAGAGGTGTTTAAAATTAACCAGCTTTCAGAGTTTAAAGTGATTCCTTAAAGTCTTATACTGCATATATAAAAGACGTTTCAAATAAACTTTTCCTCTCTCACCATCCAGTCCAGTTGACGGGTTCTGATATTGAACAAAAGGCCTCTTCGGGAGTGCCTATTAGATTTAGAAGACAGAATATAGATCTCAAGTATTATTTTAGAGTATTACTCTGAAATAGGCAGTTGCTGCCCATTCACCTTTGTCTGTTCAATCCTATAGCACGTTTCAACCAGATCTGTTTATATATTGCTATGGTATTGTATTTCTTTGGGTTAGTGTCATTTAAAAACAGTGTTTTTGGCTATATTTTTAATACTTTAATTTAAATATTTTGTTTGTTAAATGGAATTTTAACATGATGTAATGATGATGATGTGTGACATTTAGAAAATTAGTCTACATTCTATTTTATTTTTACCAATTTTTTACTAATGTTGTAGCAATTTTTATTTCTAGACAGGTTATGTTTGATTATTCTATAAAGATAATATCCAGTCCACTTATTTGTAATGAGTTATTTACTTCTTTTACAATATAATACAGGCTAAATATACAATACAACAAAATAAACCATTCACTCACAGCAGCAAAAACAGAACCAAACATTTTTACATCTGGATATATACAGATTTACTAAATACACAGCAAACTAAAAACAAAAACAAAAACCAATAATAATACAAAATACACAAAAACCGAAATGCAAATTTACATATTAAAATGCAACTTAAACACTTAAATAAATAAATACAGAAATAATATACAAAATGTATACAGTTACCCAGAACTAGCATGAGGCTCTGCAAGTGTTGCACCTACTCCTCGAGCTTCAATGGATCCAAAGTTCCTCCACAGTTAGTCCTTCTCCTGGTTATAGAGGGCTCAAGCCTTGGTTCACTTGGCAGCCATACCCTAGTAATGCTGATTATACACAGGTATCTTCTCTTACGTAAGTTGGTTCGTAATAACCTTGGGTGTTGAGAGCTTCACCTTCGACAGGATTTGAGGCTGATTTTGGGGCTGCTTTTTCGTTGGTGCGGGACTGTTTTCTTAACACCCTGCCCCACCACCCCTTCTCCAAATATCATTATTATCATAATAAGCAGTACTTAACTACATCCACCAGGGATATTTCTTGCTGCATTCTGTAGAATTCAGCAAATCCCTGTCAGTTTTGCTTCCATGTCTGATAGTGAATTCACATCAGCATAAAGTGCAAAATTGCAGTTCAGTAAATCATGGGACAGACTTTGCATCACCATATTGTCTAATTTTATGAACTTTATATCTTTGGAAGAAGGTAATAAAAACCTGGCTCTGCATAATTAAAAGTTTTTTAATATGCTGAAATATGTAAAAAAGGCATTCAGTACTGATTAGATAACGGATGTTTCTTGTAATACAGGACCGTTGGCAACCCTACTGTCAAGGTAGAGGCCCTCACCTCAACTCCACTGGCTAAATAGCAGTCAGTGATGATGCCCCCTAATTTCATGGTGAACCCCATTCTTGGCAATGGTTTGTCTGGACTGCTTTAATAGTCTTTCTTGTAGTGATGGCATTGGGACTTGAGATTGAAACTCTGGAGACAGCAACCATCATTCAGAGATCCATTCCAGTTCAACTATCTCAGATCATGGTCGACCCTTGAGAGGATTCAAGGACTGGAATAGTTTTTAGATTTAGGGATTTGATGTTCTTGCCAGAGATTCTAGCATGCCTGGCACCATCAGCACTTGATAATACTGTATCATCCAATGGAACACTTCAGGAATATATTCTGGTGCTTCTACGAAGGAATTGGTGATTGTAGTGGTGGCTATTGATGTCGGCAAAGTCGTGGTCAACAGTGCCAATGGAGATGAGCCACACAACAGATCATAGCAAGCTCTTCCATGTATGATGTGTTGGCAAGCAGTGCAGCTTCATCTATGGCTTCAGTTACAGTGAACATTAAGCTGGCAGAAGGAGTCTCAGAATCAATCTCGTAGCCCAGTCGTTTGCTAAAAAGGAAGCTGTAGGTGTAGTGGTTATCATCATACTTGTGGTCCATTATGCAGCATAGAATACTTCAGGAATATCAGCAACAAAGAATAGAGATCCATTGGGTAGTTTAGGAAATATATAGTTAGAATAGTCAAGAATTCCATCTTAAATAGCAAAGTCCACAACGAAACAATAAAGGCAAATAATCCAAACGGAAGCTCAGACAGGTGTGTAGATTGAAAAAAAAGTCGTAACTGTTCAGTTACAACTATATCAAATTCTAAAATCTTTTTATGGTTGGGGTCATAAAACTTTACCTTGGTCAAGCGACATTTCTACAAAAGTTATGTATACCCACATTCGATATCATCCATACAAGATGTATCCCTAACACCAGTCAACTTTTCAATCTCCCAAGATTCGTTGGGTCCCCACTTGACCAATATCTTTAGTCATGCTGCCCTATATCGTCCCGACAACAGCCAACATTGCTGACCTTCCAACCCAATCCCATTTCCTCTGTTAACATATGGTTATTTATCAAAGGGATGGATCCCAGTTCCAGTAGGAAAGACTGAGAGTCAAAGTGATTCCTACTCATATCAGTTGAGTCAAGTTAGTTTACATTAATCCTTACTTTTGACAACTAGAGTCCACTAGCATTCACACTAAATCAGCAAGAAGAAAATATTTATAGAAATAGTTGTTTATAAAGTATTTTGAATTGAATGACTGAATACACTCTATCACAATCAAATAAAACACTGGGTAAATCAAGTTTATATTTGATATGATACCTAAGCTACTCTCTGAGAATTTCCTTTATTTCTGAAAATTTTATCCACTCATAGATATTTCAATTCAATCCAGTTGAACTTGAAAAACATTCTCTCAACGAAAATAACAGATGCATTGTATCTTCAAATAATATCTTCCAGGTGAATAACACAGCTAGTTTCATATCACAAAGTCTTACCACCCATATAAAATATTTTGTTTCCATCGACATGTTGCTGAGCTGTTCTGCTCTTTCTGTAATTGATCCATTTATGTCATACAACACACATGAATGACTATGTAATGCTTATATATGTTTAATACCACACGCACATATCTATTTATACAGGTATATTGCTCTATAATTATATCACAATTACACATTATCATATATTAGGTCGTCAAGAAATTAATGTCGCGTTTTGGAACACTTTCATTAACCAGCCCCCAAAAAACGCACATCATGTATAATAGTTACACGAACCGCCTAAACGTCACGTTAGTGTATCCTATATAATGTGTAAAGTTTAGTACACTCTAATCTCTTATATTGGTGACACACGACGAGACACACACATTCGGCATGTAATGCTGTTTTATATGCAAGAAGGGAAACAACGCCTCTGTAGCCACAAAGAATATCAAAGAAGTTTATGGAAATGTTTTGAACGTTCGTAAGTGTCAACGATGGTTCAGAAAATTTCGTACAGGTGACTTCAACCTTAAAATCTGTGATGGCAGGGGCCGACATATTGGAATTGATACTGATGCTCTGAAGACGCTTCTAACCCAAGGCAACACACTCGTGAAATGGCCCTGAAATTGCATGTCTCTCATGAAACAGTACGTAAACATATAAGGAAAATGGAAAAACTCCATGAAGAAGATGTTTGGGTGTCTCACAAACTCTCCGATGATCATTGTTTCCAACATGTGAACGTTGCTGGGTCTCTTTTGGTGCATAATGCGCATGAACCATTTTTGGACAGAATTGTCACCCGTGATGAAAAATGGATTCTCTATACGAATATTAAACGCCAAAAACAATGGCTCAATCCTAGACAAAAGCCAGTTGCGACCCCAAAACCTGTACTCCATCCACAGAAAGTGATGGTTTGCATTTGATGGGACATCGAAGGAGTAATTCATTTCGAACTCCTCAAACCACAATGAACTGTCAATGCAGAGATTTATAGTCAGGAAATGGAACGTTTAAATCAAG